CCATGTGCAGAGTTCGTAGCAGGCACAGCACTTTGTGAACCTGCGTGTGCAGAGTTCGTGGCAGCCACAGCACTTTGTGAACCTCCATGTGCAGATTTCGTGGCAGGCACAGCACTTTGCGAACCTCCACGCGCAGATTTCGTGGCAGGCGCATTACAAAATGCATTCTTGAGAGATAGCGGACGCGCGAAATGCTGCGTTTTTCAATAGAAGGGGTGGCTCCGAAGCTGGCAAGTCCAGCTTTCCGGAACACTGTGTGCGAGACGGTCTCGGGTCATGCTCGGATCATGGTCGGATCATTCTCGGAATCGTCCCTCCATTGTGATTAGAGTTTTCACTTGTTTCTTGACGCGCAGATGTCGTGGCAGGCACAGCACTTTGTGAACCTCCATGTGCAGATTACGTGGCACGCGCAGCGCTTTGTGAACCTCCATGCGCAGATTTCGTGGCAGGCACAGCACTTTGTGAACCTACATGCGCAGATTTCGTGGCAGGCACAGCACTGTGTGAACCTCCATGATACGTGGCAGGCGCAGCACTTTGTGAACCTCCATGTGCAGAATTCGTGGCAGGCACGGCGCTTAGTGAACCTCCACGCGCAGATTTCGTGGCAGGCGCAGCACTTTGTGAACCTCCATGCGCAGATTTCGTGGCAGGCGCAGCACTTTGTGAACCTCCATGTGCAGATTTCGTAGCAGGCACAGCACTTTGTGAACCTCCATGTGCAGATTTCGTGGCAGGCGCGGCACTTTGTGAACCTCCACGCGCAGACTTCGTGGCAGGCACAGCGCTGTGTGAACCTCGAGGTCCAGACTTCGTGGCAGGCGCAGCACTTTGTGAACCTCCATGTGCAGATTTCGTGGCAGGCGCAGCACTTTGTGAACCTCCATGTGCAGAATTCGTCGCAGGCACAGCACTTTGTGAACCTCCATGTTCGTGGCCGGCACAGCATCTGTAAAGCTGGAAGCTGACTTTGTAGTACAACTTTTTAGTACGCGGACTATCTGGGGAGGTGGAAGATGAGAACTGGCGACTTTGTAGTACAACTCTGAGTATCTGGGGAGCTGGAAGACTTTGTAATCTTTCTAGTGCAACTTTAGTACGCGGACTATCTGGGGAGCTGGAAGATGAGAACTGGCGACTTTGTAGTACAACTCTAGTACACGGAGTATCTGGGGAGCTGGAAGATGAGAACTGGCGACTTTGTAGTACAACTTTAGTACGCGGAGCAATCTGTGGATCTGGAAGCTGAGAACTGGCGACTTTGTAGTACAACTCTAGTACGCGGAGTACCTGGGGAGCTGGAAGATGAGAACTGGCGACTTTCTAGTACAACTTTAGTACGCGGAGTAGCTGGGGAGCTGGAAGATGAGAACTGACGACTTTGTAGTACGACTTTTTGTACGCGGGGCAAGCCGTGGAGCTGGAAGCTGAGAACTGGCGACTTTGTAGTACAACTTTAGTACACGGAGTATGTGCGGAGCTGGAAGATGAGAACTGGCGGCTTTGTAGTACAACTTTAGTACGCGGAGCAAACTGTGGAGCTGGAAGCTGAGAACTGGCGACTTTGTACAACTTTAGTACGCGGGGTATCTGTGGAGCTGGAAGATGAGAACTGGCGACTTTGTAGTATAACTTTGGTACGCGGAGTATCTGGCGAGCTGGAAGATGAGAACTGGCGACTTTCTAGTACAACTTTAGTACGCGGAGTATCTGGGGAGCTGGAAGAAGAGAACTGGCGACTTTGTAGTACGACTTTAGTACACTGAGCAATCTGTGGAGCTGGAAGATGAGAACTGGCGACTTTGTAGTACAACTTTAGTACGCGGAGTATCTGTGGAGCTGGAAGATGAGAACTGGCGACTTAAGTACAACTTTAGTACGCGGAGCAATCTGTGGAGCTGGAAGCTGAGAACTGGCGACTTTGTGGTGCAACTCTAGTACGCGGAGTATCTGGGGAGCTGGAAGATGAGAACTGGCGACTTTGTAGTACAACTTTAGTACGCGGAGTAGCTGGGAGCTGGAAGATGAGAACTGGCGACTTTGTAGTACAACTTTAGTA